TTGGTGGTTATGACATCCTTGCTCTGTCTTTAGTCTGAAGACCCCCGTTCTTTCAGTCTCTCCTTTCTAGGTTTCTGGCTGTTCTTGTGTTTTTTCTCTGAGCTTTCGCCAGCTGGCCCACGGCTCTCGAGGGGTGCCCAGGCTTAGGCACAGCACTCCGGTGCTGCATGGAGAAAGGATAACCTTGTGTGGCTTCAGACCATGCTCCTCCCTGCACATCCCGCTATGGTGTTTGTCCTTTTGGTTTTTTGGGGGGGGTTTTGGCAGCATCATGACATTATTCCTGCTCAGTTGTGATGCGTTTTCCTCTTCCGTGGTATCCTCTAGTTTCTCCTGGTGTTCCTCTCCATTACCGCGGTGGTCATTTCACTAAACTTGGTAAACATGAGTGACATTAAGCAAGAACTGGTTCAAACTAAACCCCATTCCTTTATTTGGTTTCTGGCTGACCACCCTTTGTTCTACTTATTGCACTTTTTGTGATGCTTGAAACAAGGTCTTAAACAGCAGTTTGCTAAATTTACCGTCTTTCGTAAGAGTTGTTTGTCCCACGTTCCTGCTGGCTGAGGAAGGGGTTACCATCAGCACCCTGGTCCTGCTCCAGTGTAGTAGTAGTTGGTTTTGGCTCCTTCTACTCCCTCCATAATTTCAACAGTGAGTAGTTTTTCATGCCCACTTTGTTGAGTTGTGTTACTAAACTCTGGTAAACAGATTTCCGTGAGAAGTGGCTGCAGTTCAATGGTGGATGAAATAATCTCTTTATATAAATTTGTTCGTAGACCTCTGGGAAAACCAGCATAATATAATTGTAAGAATATATTTAATATTAAGGTTGTTGTGAATTGTCTTTTTTTTTACCTTGAAATTATTTTTATCCTTTTTTTGTCCTCTGTTTTGTGACAGTGATTGAAGTTCGCCATTTGCAAAAGCCACAGACTGGGAGGGGGAGGATGTTCAGAGTATCAGGAGCAAATTAGCGGGGTCAGTCTTACTGGCTTTGGTGCTTTGACTTCTTTCAGAAATATAACCATTCAGTTTTGCAAGACTTTGTAAAATCTGTCTGAAGGTCGCGCTTTCATTCCAGGGGAAGAGTAAAACCCATGGTGGTGAAGACCACGTGGAAATGCAGTACGCGTACATATTTCTTTTCCCTTCATATCAGGGCAGAGACAAAGCAAGTGTGTGTTGGTCATTTGTCAGTAGGAGACAAGGTTTGTTGTTTCTGCTGTTCAATAAAACTTAGCCCTCATTCATAAAGATTAAAAATAAGTTGTATGTACTTCTAAAATCCACAGTTCCCTGGATTAGGAAAATAAATGTTCCACTGTGAAGCCTCCCTTAAAAATCATAACTGTATGATTTGTTGGTATATGTATTTTTCTATTAAAAAAAAAATATCACTAGCTTGAAAAGCAGTATATATGTAAAGAGAAAATTTGTTAACTGATATGGGAGGATCTAACCTTGGGTCACCTGCAAATCTCTCAAACAAGAGCTCCAGGGCAAGTCCTAATTCCAGAGAGTAAAAGCGAAAATTAAAGCTATAGCTAGTGACTGCTCTAAGTTACCCGGGGTGGATTCATTTGAGTTTCGTTGATTGTGCTTGTGAATATAATGTGAAAGGGATGGTAGAGGTCTTCTCAGCCACCTCCTGTCCAAAGTATTTCCATGGAGACAGAAATATAATCTGATGGTCTGACAAAAGTTGCTTTTCATAACCAGAGGCATTCATTAAATAGTAGATGAAGCAGGAGGCAAACTTTTGCGTTTTTAACCAACCTAAAAAAAATGCCATTTGGAGAATGTGCTTTATCGAGTAGTTTATCCAGATACCACTGGTATTTCATGACCTGAGAAACAGACTGTTAATGTGATAGGTTTATTTGTCATTAGCCCTGCTTCTTTAAATTATGAACTATCACATGCCCTAAGTAAAAACCCAGCAAGTACAATACAGGTTCAAAAATATCAGATAGCTGATCTAATTCTGCAAATTCACACAATTTCGGTTGCATATGAAAAGCTCCCAAAACCTTCCGCCTAACTGGGTTTTCCAGCGATGAGCAGGTCAGGGGCTCACACGCGGTCTTCTGGCGTGGCTGAGGGAGCGTGTTGGTGGCTGTTTCCAAGGTGGGAATGATGATTTAATGAGCGCATCAAAGCGTTCCTCGATACTCTTACGACGCACACTGTGCCTTTTTTGTCTTCCTTTCAAGCGGGGTTTTCAGTTGTGTCGCTGCTACCATTTCACTGTTTGAAATTCTCCATGGAAGGTACAAAAACGTGGCAGTGGCGCTCTCCTCCCGATCCCCGAGCATCGCACAGGGGATGCGACACGCCAAATGCTCAAGATTTTGAGCTGCAGCCACTGCACTTGGATCCCTCGAGATGAACCTGCCTCCTAAACTTATCTCCCAGCAGTGCCTGAAAACCAGACGGTTAGGGGAGGGAAAAAAAGGAGCGTGGGTGAACGGGAAGATAAAACACTTTATGTTGAGTACTTTTAAAACTGTTCTTAATGTGCTATAAAACTGGATGCTTCACTTTTTCATGAACTGTGTGCAAAAGGAGAAGCACTGACTGTAAAGTTGTCGTCGGTTAGGTTTGCTTTATAGTTGCAGAGGCTGCCCAATAATGTGATCTTGGAAAAGGTAAACAACTTGGTTTTAACAGTGAAAAATATGCCTAATATAAATACAGCTAAGTTCATTGCTGCTCAGAACTTGAAAAATACGACTGTAACGTTGCATTTTCTGGTGGAGTTAACAGAGGAGCACAGTGCAGCCTTAGAAGCAATATATCTGAGACAGAGAAAATAGGTAATACATCTAACTGGGGAGTCTCTGTGGCATTCACATAGAGGAAAGCACA